TATATATACATTTTAAAGTTCTAAATACTTTTACTTCCACATAGTTTAAATAAGAAAAAAATTAACAAGCAAAATTTTAATTGATTTTAAAGTCCTAAATGTTACTAAATATTTGAATATAAAATCTTTTTTAAAGGACAAAAATTCAATTAATATTTCCTATAGAGATCTCGTGCTTTTATAATATAGATTTAAGCTTGTACAATTTAGTATGATTAAATATGCTATCAAATAATCATTTTGGGTTCTTAACTGAACATGGATTAATTATTTTGTATAAATAAAGTAATATTTTTCTTAATGCATATTTAATCGTTCCATGTTGAAATAATTTTATTTTAGACGTTATTGTATGAAGCAATTTTAATTTTAATATATGATTTGTTGTCCTCGTATTTCAATTTAATTAGAAATCAATTGAAGGCACCATATAAAATCGTTCTCGTCTTGGTTTATAAGTATTGCACCAACGATATAGTCAATTAGTATAATTTATATGAGGTAACATGTTAATCAATTCCATTCCTAAATACAAGAACTTCTTACCAAGTTTAATAAGGAAACATGAGGTATAATTAGTATAATTTATATGAGGTAACATGTATAACATTTGTATTTAAGTTGTATGATATTGTAGTTGTATTTAACTGGGTAGAAATAATGTATGAAAGTTGTAGATAAGTTGTAAATAAGTTATATAATATATAATTAGTTGTATGAAATTTGCTTTTACTATGTATGTTGTTGTAGATATTCAAATTTGCATTAAATTTGTACGAAATTTATTTTTAATTTGTATGTTGATGTACCATATATTGTTATTAGAGATAGAGATTTTATGTGTTTATGTCCAAAATATGCTGAATTCCTATGTCAAAATTAAAGAAGTTAATTCTGTATCTAGCTTGGTTCACTAAAGAAAACTTCAGAACTATAATAAAGATTTTCTACTAGTAGCTTATTCATAGAAAAATCTTATTCCGACAAGGAAAATGATTTTGTTTTACTTGGATAGTTTGGAATGATTAGTAAAAGTAGTACATAGGAAAGCAGTACTGCAATAAACTGACGAGAAGGTTAAAAAAAAAGGGAAGAAAAAGGCTGTTGCCACTTGCCAGTATGTTTAATTTTTCTAGAAATAATGTATAATATATAATTAGTTGTATATTATATAATTAATTATATAAAATTTATTTTTAATTTATATGTTATCATAGATATATTAAATTTGAATATTTCGACACTGATACACAACTATGTTCTTGTTAACTCCGACACAATTATATGGGTATTGAGTAATGTGATTGAGACAGTTTACACGTGGATGGCTTTATATTATTTCTTGAAACAATGAATGTGGTATTGACCGAAGGAATATTGCGATTTGATTAGCTGAAAATCTATTGGGATCTTTATTTTCCATGATTAAAGGTATACAATATGATTTGCTAATAATTAGCTGAGATTTTCCAACTTTATTCTATGTTAACGCTTTAATATTAGAGCCGATTTGGTAAAGCGTTCTTTATTAAAGAGGAGAGGAGAAATAAGAAAAAAGATAGTAACTA